ATAATGACTTGCTTCCAAAGAGTACAGTTTGGAAGGGGTCGGGGAAGTAACTTTATGGTGGAGAAACCTGACAGACACTGCCTCAACCAGATGATCCAGGTCAACATTAACAGTGATAAGTCATGTTGATAGTATGCACACCAACCCCAGTCTGATCATGAGGACAACATCAGACAAATCCCAATAGAGAGACATTCTACAAAATACTTGACCAGTATTTCTCAAAACTGTTAAGGTTATCAAAAACAAGGAAAGTTTGAAAAACTGTCACAGATAAGAAGCGCCTAAGGAGACATAATGACTAAATGTAATATGGTATCCTGGAAGGAATCCTGGAACAGAAAAAGGGCATTAGGTAAAAACTAAGAATTTCTGAATAAAGTGTGGAACTTTGTTAATAATAATTTATCAATATTGGTTCACTAGTTGTAACAAACACACCATACTAACATAAAATGTTAGTAATAGAGGAAATTGGGTGCAGGGTATATGAGAACTCTGTGCTATCTTCACAACTTTTCTATAAATTAAAACTCTTTTTTAAAAGTTTATTAAAAACGAAATAGACCCAGTTCCTGGTCTCACGGAACTTACTGTTTAGTGAGGAGGCAGGAAAAAAAAAAGTCATGGGAAAAAACAGCAACACTTTGGATGATGAGCTCCAGCATGATGGGGGCCAGGGGTGCTCACTTTAACTAGGACTGTCAAGGAAGATAACTTTGAGACCTCAAAGATGGTAATAAATACCCATGCAAAGAAAGAACAGAGGTGAAGGGAAGACCTCTCGAGGTACAGGAATAGTATGTGCAAAGATCATAAGATAGGAGCCTGGAGGAATTGAAAAATAGCCGTTGTCACAGACTGAGTTCTTGCAGAAGCCATTCTTGAGCAAGGATTTGAGTGCAAGTGGTTTATTTGAGGGGTATTCCCAAGAGACCATGGTATAAGCATAGGAAAGTGAATCAGAGCAGGAAAAGAAGCCACAAAGGGGTGAGTTTATCAAGCAGGTTACTGTTATAGGCAACATTCACACTGGCAAACTATGGGAGACCATGTAGAACATGCCTCAGTTATCCCACTTTTGGAAAGTAACTGTGGTCTTTATTAGCCAACTCCAATCAGGAATTGGCTGAAGGCTGCTCCCAGGGGCATTAATTCCCTGGCACTTCCAGCCTGCCTTACAACAGACCAAGAAGCTAGAGAAAGCCCTCAGGCAAAGAACTGCAGGTACTTGCAATTGGAAGCCATAGAGATCAATAAACATGGAAATAGCGGTTCCAAGGGACTATGGGAGGATCCCTGACAAGGTCTGCAACAGCCAAGATGTCAAAAGAATAGGTAGCAAGGGGGAAAGTGGCACTGGATAAAGTTGAGAAGTAAGCAAGGGGCCATTTATGCAACACTTGGTGGAAAACAATTGCCCTGTGGCAATTGCTGCACTTGGCAAGGTCATAATACCTTTGTTTCAAGATAATTGGCTCTTGGGTTGAGAATGGATTACTGAGAAAGTGGGCACAAGTTGAAATAGGCAGATTTGTTACAGTGCTGCTGCAGTAGGAGACAGTGACTTGAACATAAGTGGTGGTAGTAGACATGGAGAGGAGTGGACAGATATGTTACATTTTGCAGGTGGAACTGTCAGGACTTGTTTGATGAATTGAGTGAATGTGGAGGATGATAGAAAGGAAGGATTTAAGGATGTTAAATCTGAAATATCTCCACTCACTCAACAGGAGGTATCCAGTAGGCAGTTGGATATGAGTCTGGAGCTGAGAGTAGTGATGCGTTTTGAAAATATAAATTCAGAAGTCATCAGTATGTAAATGGCATTTAATGCCATAGGAGTCGTTGAGGTCACCTACTGAAAGCACTAAAAGAGAAGAGGGTCCAGTAAAGCAGAGTAAGGAGAGGCCAGAAAAAAAAACAGAATTCTGAGAACGTGCTGTCCCAGAGGCCCAGTAAGGAAGGCGCTACAGGAAGGAGATAGTGGTAAACTGTGTCACAGACACTTCTGAGAAGTCAGGTAAGATGAGGACAGAAAAATGAAGAATGAATTTACAGCATAATTGTTGTTGGAGACTTTGATACAAGCAGTTTTTGTTCTGAAGCGAGCATATCAACTGGAATGAGTTACAGAGTGAATAGAAGGGGAGGAAATAGAAACAGTCCATAGAAACAACTCATTAGAAAAGTTTGACTTTCACAGAAAGCCAAGAAAGGGGCACTAACTGGAGGGGGGTGCTGGACTTAAGGAAGTTTGGTGTTTGTTTGTTTTTGTATTTTATTTTTGTTTTTAAGTGGGAGATAGCATTTCTGTGTACTAGTAGAAATGATTCTCTCAAGAGGGAATGTTGGACAATTCGGGGGGGGAAATGACTTAAAGGTACAAAGGCCTTGAGGGAAGGGTGAGTGGGATCCCACACAAGCAGAGAGTGACTATGGAAGAAGCAGCATACTTCTCCCTTCATTTCTTTTTTTGAACATTTAATTGTGGTTTATGTGAAAGTTTACAGAGCAAATTCGTCCCCCATTCAACAATTTATACATATTTTGTTTCCTGACATTAGTTGCAAACCCCTCAATTTGACAGCACTCTGCTCGCTTCCTCCTTGACTTCCCTATTTCCATTCGCCCATCTTTCCTGCCCCTTCCTGTCTTCTGAACGTTTTTAGGTAAATGCTGCCCATTTGGTCTCGTGTGGTTGATTGTTCGAGGAGCACGTTTCTCACGAGTGTTATTGTTCACTTTATAGGCCTGTCTGTTGTTTGGCTGAAAGGTAATCTCCAGGAGTGGGTTCACTTCCAGGTTTGAAAAGTGGCTAAGGGCCTTAGTCTCGGGAATTCCACCCCTCATTTTAAGAGGAAGGGCAGAGAACATGAGGGCAGACATTTTATAGATTTGATGGTGGGGACATGAGGGTGCACCTATGTGACGGCTTCTATCTGCTCAACGTATCATGAAGGAAGGTAAAGAGCTAAGCGCCAAGAGGAATAAATGGTATGGCAGGTTGAGAAGGTAAAAATTGCTGCAGGTGTTGATAATCCTTGGAAGCTATATCACTTTAAAGCAAGGCTTAGAACAGGTTCTCTCAGTTCAGTCATGGTCCACAAAGCGAAACTGGAACAGACCCAAATTTTTACAATTTGGGTGATCCGGAACAGTAACCAGATTGGGAAAAATTACAGGTCGAAGCTCTGGAATGGGAGACTCGAAAGAGGCATTGTGAGCCCTTTCAGGAGCCTGATGCAGGAGACTGGATTATTGGCAGGACTGTGAAGAGTGACACACATTCAAAGCAGCGTGCAGTCGGCCACCATCTTTGAGTGGGGCAACGCTGTTTCCCACTCTGCCCAAAATCCAACAGGCAAGACATTTGGCTGCTATGCAATGCGTACGCTGCCCTTGCTTTCTAAGAGGGTTGATTAAGTTTCTATTAGGGCTTCAACCCATAATTTTTCCAGTTCCGGTTGCTGTACAGTTCATCCAAATTCTAAAAATTCAGGTCTGTTCTGGTGTCGCTTCTTCAGCCATGACTGAACTGGAAGAATGGGTTCTAAGCCCTGCTTTAAAGAGAATCAGCTTGATCATGTGATTTCTCCAGCACTATCTCACTACTCAGGTACAGGTGCAGAGAAGGCTTATAGCAGGGATTATTCAGGGCTGGAGTTTTGTCAGGTAAGTATGAAGGTAGAAAAGAGGCAAGGAAATAGAGGAAACATATAAAGACATAATTTCAAATGGACGATGGAATTTAAGTTGGGTAGGGGCAGAAAGGAGTCTCCGGAGGGTGCAAATGGTTGTTGTTGGCTGGTTGGAGGTTCAAGTCCATCCAGAAGTGCCTCAGAAGAAAGGCTTGGTGATCTACTTCTAAAAAAATCAGGCATTGAAAACCCTATGGAGCCCAGTTCTACTCTGGCATACATGGGGTCATCATGAGTCAGAATGGAATCAACAGGAATTCCTTCTTTCTTTTTTCGGTTCAAGAAAGTTTCCAGGTAGGGGCTGATGGATAGTGGAAAAAGTAGTGGGGTCCGTGGATTGGTGTCTCAATCAAAGTGCAATCAAAGAAACGTATCAGGGTTCTTGAGAAAATTAGTTTAAAAGTGAAGATGATAGCCAGTTAGGTGTTGTTTTATTGTAAACTTTTTGTCATTTTAAAATACATCATTCAAAAGTGGAAGTAAATATGGTGCCTGTGGTTTCCTAAGTCATACTGGGTAGTGTCTTGCTTGACAGTCAAAATATGTTACACTTTTCGTAGATTAAAATTTTGCCTCATAGCATAGCGGTTTAAATCTCCAAGTGTTTACTTTGTGACTGGAGAATCTTCACTTCTTCCTTCCTCTGGTATGGCAATCATACTGATAACACCTGTCCAAACATGTAGAGTAGCTTCCTTACATACGTAACAAGTAAGCTGGGCTATAAAATATAAAAGGCCACCAAAGAGGAAAATCAGCAGGTCATGAACCAAATGCCCAACTTTATAAGTTCTGGCATTTTTTACTAGAGAGATACATGTAGACAAAATGAAGTGTGGAGAGTGAGAAAAATGATGAACACAACTCAGTAATTATTAGGACTTGTAGAAATTAATGTTACCTCTTCATGTTTACTAGGGAAAACCACTTAAATTCTAACAAACTTCCGAGTCAAAGGCCTTTAGCATATCCTAGCAGCATAAAATGAGGGGGGAACACTTGTTTTCCCACTCAAATCGATTATATAAAATTCCAAATTTCACTTCCCAAAACTAGCAGGTGATATTTATAGCATTCCTTTAAAGAGTTAGAGATCCTAGACCACTTATGTTTAATTTTAGTATTTACAAATAATTTTCCAATAACAAACACAGGTGTGCAACCAAGATTTCAAAATGGCAACCCATTTGAAATTTACCTAAAAACCAAAAATAACTACTCTAAACTAGTATTTCTCAAGGCTTTATTTTTTTCTCCCTTCAACTTGTATGAGGGAGAGAACTCATTAACAATGGCATAGTACTATCATGATATAATGACAGGGGGAAGCAGATGGGGTGACAAAGGGAAAGTAGTTTCCTACCTCATCTACTTCCTGGTAGAGAATCAGTTATAAATACAGTAGATACTTTAAATAATAGTGTTGGAATGTGGGACTCTAAAAAACCACCATTAAACACAAAATAAAGAGCACCCCTACCTTTTCTGTTAGTTTTGTTCGAAACCAATATAGCATATACTTGAGGTGAAATTGGGATTCTTGTTTCTTATCCCAGTTGAGCCCCTGGCTAGTTAGATGACCTTTAGCAGTTCCGTTGGTCTTTGTGCCTCATATTTGGTAAAATAGAGATGATAGTACTGGTCCTATCACTTCTCAGGGTGCTCTAAGAATTAACTGAAAATCCATTCTTTCCTAGAAACATGTACTGAGAGCCTACTACGTGCCAGGCACTGATGTGAAGGGCGGTAGTGAATAAAACAAATTTGTCTTCATGGAGCTTACATTCCAATGGAGGAAGACATATAGAAAAAATAAAGCATGAAAAGAAAGATAGATGGTACGAGTTGGAGTGAAATTGGAGGGAGGGTGTTCTATTTTACATAAGGCCTCTATGGTAAGATGACATTTTAATAGTAACTTGAATAAAGTAATTTGTCAAGGATTACCTGACAGAAGGCACAGCAAGCGGAAAGGCCCTGATGTTGGAGGTACTTGGTATGTTTCAGGAACAGCTAGGTATGTACGACTGGAATAGAGTGACCGAGGGAATGGCAGTGAGATCCAAGAAGTGAGGTTGAAGGGTGCAGATAATGTAAACACGGATTTTGGCTCTCATACAACAGAAGATTAGTCATTGAGGGTTCTGACATGATCTGACTTATGTTCTAACAGGATCACCCTGGCTTCTGTGTGGAGAACAGAATAGATTACTGGGGATTAAGGTTGGTAGGAGGGAGACAAGTTCCTGGCAATTGCAATAGTCCAGACAAGATACAACTGCTTAGACTAGGGTGATAGTGTTTGAAGTGGTACATGATTAGTGTCTGGGTATATTCTGAAGGTGGAGCCAACAGTGCTTGAATATGATGTAACATACAAAACATATTCAAATACTGTTCACACAATATGAAGTGAGAGAGGAGACAAGGATAACCACGAGGTTTTAGGCCAGAGCAAACGTAACAAAAGAGTTACCAATATAAGTGACCTTGCTTTAGAGTTTAAAGAGCATAATGTAAGGTGATCTTGACCAGTTCATTCTGTATCAGAGGACAAATACTCAACAGATTAAAATCCATTCCACCACGAGGTATTTCATGATTTGTCCAATTTTAATTCTGGAAAACTCATTAGTCAGAGGTCTGTTTACAACAATGGAAGTTTTCAGTCAGAAAAGGTTTTATTATAAGAAACAATGACATCAGGTAAAAATGCAAAAAATTGTGCAATCATGGCAAAATGTTTAAAATATCTACACATTTGCCTCCATAGGACTACAGTACTTACTACATACCTGAGCGCTGAACAATGAATGCCATTTTAAACTGCTTTATGTAGGGAATCTGATTCCTCACAGATCACATCCACTTTGTCTCATGCACCAATGAAATAAGCTTGATGCTTGAGCATCAACTTCATAACAGACAACAAAGATGGAAAATAAAGAATACAATTTCTACTTTCCTATAACATAGTTATCCCAAGTCCAGTTTTCAATGTGTCAAAAATATATAGGAAAGTGCTACATACATTCTTCAAATGTCAAAACAAAGTTAAAACAAAGTTAAAGTGAGACTGGCATATATTAGACTTACCCTATTTTAATTCTGTAGTACCCATTGTGCCTTTTACTAATGTTCTCGTCATACTCTGCAAACGTACCTTAAATATCTAAACATAAACCCATATACAACTAATCTTAGTTTTCTAGGACCTCTTCTGAAACTATTTAAAAGTGGCAAAACGTCCCAGCTATATAATTTAAACAATAGTTCTTCATACAAAATTCAATATATATCTACTCCCATAGCAAATCCTAAACCTGGGCTTTGACACACTATACTTAGATCATACCCTCAATATAAATTGTTACAACAAAACGATCAACTGTTGTGCAGATCAACGGAATACATCTACTGTAGAATTAACCACAGTATGTTGTACTCGTCTATATCATACGACACGTGTAAATTTCTAACTAAATGTTCTATGTCATGTTTTCAAGTCATTCATTTTCCTAAATAAATACAGAAGATTGTCAGAAAGCAGCAGGAAATCTTAGATATGCAATGAAGCTTTCAGAATTAAATTACATGAACACCTCTTGCAAAAGTTGGTTATTTTTGTTTTTTCTTCCCTCAGCAATACTGTAAAGAATGCTGCAAAAAAACTCACAGAAATAGCCCCCAAAAAGCATGAATATAAGGAAATCAGTATAAGATCAAGAAAAACCGGGGAGGGGAAAAGAAAAAAAAAAAAGGTTCTTGGTTGATAAGGTTTACAAAGAGATTATAGACGCTACCAAGGCCAATAAGAAGAAATCACATCTCTAGCTTTCTAAGACTAGATTTTAAGATGTTAGTTCCATAGATGCTGTCCACTTTAGATTCTGCTTCAGAAAACTCTCCCTACTTGTAGAGCTCCGTGACAAGAAGTTGGAAAGTTTCTGTAAAACGAGGTATGTGATGCAAAGAGGCAATGTTTTAAATTTGTTTCACAGTATCACGTTACAATTTGTGCAAGACTTTTAAATACAAACCATGCCAGTTTGCTTTCTTTAAGAGAATAAAAATGTTCTGGTTAAAGACAGACTCTGGGCTATACTTACATCCTTTATCAATTATTCTAAACATAGTAAAAAATAAGTTACTGATTCAAATATCTGCATTAGGTCTTACAAATGAATTGGTTTGTCCTCCATGTTAATATTAATATTCCTAGCTGATAATTAGAAATTCATCAGTTAAATATGAAAAATGATTTGGAACCTATACTGCTATTGTTCTATTCACTTACACTTTTCCTTCTCAATCACCTTCAGCTAGAACAATGAAAAAATACTCATCACTGTTAAATGAAAAAAAAATGAGGTTTTAATTACCATACATAACTTAAAAGCAATTAAATTAGACCACTGCAGGAATTTTATGTTTCCAGAAAACAGTATTTAAAAAGTAGGGGTAAAACTTCACATTATGCACTGTGCAGAGGAGAAATAAGTTACCTTTCAGATAGAGGGTAGAGAAGGAGGACAGGCAACCAAATAGCCCATGTTAGTGCAAATTGAGCATAACTCTCTCACTATTCTAAGATTGAGTCCAGTTAGACCAATAACTGGCCGTATCCTGCTATCACATAAGTAGAGAATCTTGTGAAATCACAAGAGTTCAACAAGTTAAGTACTATGACCATGAAACTAACATTCCAATCTGAAAGATAAGCAGAGGCTCAGACAATCTAAATCTATCCAGCTACACACATGAATTAACTTATACTAGCACCAGCCACCTGTCAATTGGAGCCCTTTTCGGGTTTTAAGGAAAATGAGAGTGTCAGTACTTGAAAAAGTTATCAACAGAAAACTGCTAATGTACTACATTAGCTTAACTTAAAAGTTACATATGAAATATGAATCAGACTAAAAGCTCTTTCTGAGGCTGGTTTGTTTTTCCTTCAACCTGCTCTAATAACAGAACACATTTAAACCTTAGTACACTTGAAAATAGTACACAAAATATATATATATTAAATATTAAGAATGAGGATCTAAGTTAGTGCTCCTCCCTGTTGGAGACGTCACAGCTAAAGTCAAGTCCTAGTGATATTGCCTCAGATCATTACCCGTATTTAAAATTAAAAGTCACGTCAAACTAGTTTGGATGTCTCTGCCCAGAAATGCCCTAGCTGCTCTTACAAGAGTGCATAGTTGTCTTGGATCATCTGGAGTCTCAGTGATTACTTATCACAAAATTCTAGAATGATATGATTACTTTTATACCAGGAAAAAAAAAAAACTAATAATTGCACTTTGTTAACCTCAGCCTTACTGAAATGAAAACACCACAAGGATGAAAACAAACCCCTCCCTACACTGTAATCTTTAAGAGTACCCACGCCCATGCACAGAACTCTCGGCTTTCTTAAATACTGGCAGCATTCTCTATCACTCTAAGACAAGCTTCCTCAAGTATGAGATGCTAGTGAACTCACTAAGGCCTGCTACTCATTAAAGTACTTTCTGAAGACATTGAGGATAGAGTTTAGCAACAGCACATTCGAAATGCCGGCCAAGGTCCCAGAGCCGATCTGGGGTCTCATACACTTTCATCCATTGGTCAGCGATGTCATCATATTGGTAAAGGGAATTTTTTCTGCTGGTTCTGAAGACATGTTCTTCAACGGTCACTTGAGTAGCTCGAACAAACAAATGGAGCTTATCTTGGAAAAGTACCAGTTTAAGATATGGATTTATGGACTGATCGCATGGAAAGTCCTTCTTGCGAGTCCATTTATTTAGCTCAATGTCATAGGCCTCTACTGTAAACATACGTTGATGATTTCCACAGGTTCCAGCTATGTAGTAGATAGAGTCCTTGTATACAGCTGCTAAGCCCTGGATTCTAGGCACAGTCATGGGAGTTAAAAAACCCCAGTAGTCTTTTTGAGGCTCATAGAAGAGGAAAAATTCTCCTAAAAGAAGAAAAAGAAAAGAAAACAAGAATACATACATTTTCATGTTTGTCTTTTGCTTGTAGGTTGTAATTCCAATCACTGAAAAGTAAACAGCATAATTTTCCAAACATTTCACTTTCTAAATATTTCTTTTATAATCTTCAGAAATATATTCATATGAGGTTACAAAATACCTTAGAACTTTTTCATTCCATGGCATAGTATATTACATAATATTATTTAAAAAAAAAAACAAAAACATACTTACAGTGACCCTATAGGATAGAGTAGAACTGTCCCATAGGTTTTCCAAGGAGCAGCTGATCGATACGAACTGCGTTTTTAGTTAGCAGCCTGAGCTCTTAACCACTGTGCCACCAGGGCTCCTCATATTATATAGAACATCTGAATTGGGATATTCATAATGGGGAGGTATAAGGAGTTACTTTGGCTTGATGACAGAAAAATAATTAAGAGCTTGGCTCCGTTTATTTTATCTAATTATGTTTTATAGAAAACTTATCTTAAGTCAACTAAAAAAACTATTATTAATAATTAGCCAGTAAGACCAAAAGGGGAGATATATATATATCCCTTCATCATAAATAAGCCACTAAAAATTTGTATGCTAATTATTTAATTAGAAGATGGCACATGGAGTTGGTCAGTTTTGTGACTGAGTCACTTTTATAAGTGTTTACACTACTTTAGTGTTACTGGAATGCAAAGACAAATACTCAAGACAAGAAAACATGGCTTTAATAAGATAGGAAACACACACATAGTTTATGGGGTTTACTCTGAGTTAGTTTCTATTCCATTTTGACAATAAAAGGATGTGCCGAGTCAGACTGCCAATATGAAAATGTCTGAAAGAATTAATCTAGTAAAGATTTACCAGTTTTGCTAATTACAACATTTATATGCAATCCTTGTTATGAAAATCTGAACCCTTTATGAACAGATAAAATGATATTGCAATAGCCCCAGACAGTACAACATGAGCTTCCAACTAGTCATGTCGAGTTTATTTATGTAAATAAGCTTTGACTAAGAGATACCTGCTTTTAAATTGAACCTCCCTTCAAAACTGTTCTGAGAAAGCTGGTGATAGGGAACCCAGGGTTGAGGAGGGACAGTGTTGATGTGTAGTGAGGTTGTCATAGGGCAACATGTGTACTAACTGTTTAATGAGAAACTATTTTGTTCTGTAAACCTTCATCTAAAGTGAGAATAGCAGCACAATCGGAATAGCATAGTCGATGTCACTGAACTGTGTGTGTAGAAATTTTTGAAATGGTGTATCTTTGGCTATGTATATTTTCACCAAAATAAAAGGTCGAGAAGGGAGAGGGTTGACATGTCGGGGGGTTGTTAACCAATGTCATAAAACAATATGTGTACTACTGTTTAATGAGAAACTATTTGTTCTATAAACCTTCACCTGAAGTACAATTAAAGAAAAAAACAAAAAAACCTGTTCTGAAATTTAATAGGTGTCTTGATTAAACAAGGTAAGACTCAAGAGCTTTGTCTGAGTTGGAGAGATTAAAATATAGGGTGTTAAAACCTTCTCTGGAGTCCCTGAGTGGAAGAAAAGAACTGGCGATCTACTTCCAAAATATCAGCCATTGAAAACTCTATGGAGCACAATTCTACTCTGACATACATGGTGGGGTCTCCAGGAGTCAGAATAGACTCAACAGCAACTGGTTATGGTTTTAAACACTTCTCTGAGTTAAGGTATACAGGTGCCCACATGGGGGCAATGGGGTTGATTCCCTATGATTTTTCCCTGAGCTGGTGAGACATAATGGAAAGGGGGTGGGAATTGGAGAAACCACGAGAACAGAAATTCTATAGCTATTAAGGAGAGCATCAACCTGGAGACATACTATGACAAAATGGTCAATAAAGAAACTTCACATAATCAGGGATGGTCATTTAAAAAAAAAAAAAAAAAACTGTTCTGAACTAGGTTTACTCTTATCTACAAATTCAACTGCCTACTTAATAATAGTGACCCTTTAACTTCAATTTTCCTTAAAACAGCTTGTTAAACCACTAGTTGTTGTCTGCACGTCACCTGCCCTTATTGAAACTTTTTCTTGATAAAGAAGATAGGAACAAAAACTTTCTAAAGTGGGTGGTGCAAATGATTAAGCGCTCAACTGCTAACCAAAAGGTTGCAGGTTCAAGTCCACCCAGAGGCACCTCAAAAGAAAGGCCTGGAGATCTACTTCTGAAAAATCAGCCATTGAAAACCCTACGGAGCACAGTTCTACTTTGACACACATGGGGTCACCATGAGTTGAAATCAACTCAACAGCAGCTAGTTTTTGGTTTAAAGTGTACTATCCCTCTATAAATTTCTTATAGAAAAGAAGCATGTCACAAAAAACAGTTGATTTTTAAAATCTAAAGTCCTGTTTAATAAATTAAAACCAATGATGAGTAACTGAGAAAAACCTCAGGGCCTCTGACTCCTAATATATAAAATATAACCTCAGATGTAAAGATGTTCCTTCCAGCCCTGAAATTCTATATATCCATTGCTATTTTGCTTTAGTATTTACATTAATATGCAACCTTTACCTTCCAATTGGGAGTTTTATAATTAATTCTGCCTCCGTCTGCTAACAGCACATATTGGATAGGTTACGCATCCATTCCAACACTCCATTTTCTGGAAAGACCAACTAACCCAAGTCATGCCATCCCTCTAGGTAAAGTAACGCACTAGAAGGTACTACTCCCTCTGGAGAATTAATTTTGTACTGAACTTAAAACAAAGGAGTTCAGGCATTTCTAGGAAATTTTAAGTCAAAAGATTAGAGCAAAAAACAATTTTTTTTTTAAATGGGATACGAGCTAAAAAATCATCCACAACTTCAAGCAAGTTGTCCCCTTTTCCTTGTTTATTAAAATAGTGGTGTGAGGAAAACATTCATATATAACCAATTAACAAATGCAGAAGAGGAAGAGATCTGGTATTACCTACACTGCATACATCATTCAAGTAACTAAAATGTGTAAGAAACCAAAAAACCGGAAACATTAGGTATCACAAATCAGAACTTTGCATCAAGTATCTTATTTCCTTCTCACACAGTCACTCTTTCCACTTCCACTGTATCATCCTGGCCAGAGAACTGGTCTTTAATAGTTTAAAAAAAAAAAAAAGCTAAGTACATTAGATAGTCCCTCATACCTGACAGTGGTAAAAGTAACAAAAAGGTGACATCTCACAGTTTTCAGTGAAAAAATTCAAAACAACGTATTACGTAAGGCAGTGTAAACTGCAGTGGAATTAAAATCTGAAGACTGTAATTTCAAATTCTTTGTAATTAAGTTTCATAGCCTTTGTGATTATAAAACTTATACAAAACGCCTTAGCAAGTGAATAGTATAAATTTAATGCTTTGTTCTTTTTTCTCTTTTACACTAATCCAGTAAGTTCCATAAGAAAAGCAATTGCTACAACATGTCTTAATTATATACTATTGAAGAGCAAAAAAAAGTCATGTATTGACCTTGCTTTCATGTTTACAGTCTTAAAAAGTACTCTGAAGTAGTGGTTCTCCAAAAACGCTGAACTATGATTTACTAAAGAATGTTTTCAAAAATCCTTATGCCACATGATATTAAAACACAATAAGAACATAAAATAACTTACAGGATCGTTTTAGTTACTTCAAAATACCTGCCTGTTTTAACTCAAAAGTGTGTCTTTCTTTACAGGTCCTTTCAAGAACAGAACTGTTCCAACAAATAGTTTATAAGGAAGTGAGAGGTATTCCTTGAGTAACAGGAGCAAACACCTTTTTTAGGATAATTAAGTTAACAATACTGGATGTGTCACCCTTCCATGAAGAACTAAATCACTTAGTCACCTACCCTGTAAAACATAGATCTTCTCTTTGTACTCCACAGCATTATGAAACTCCATTGCAACAGGCATTGCGCAAACAGTCCTCCAACAATTCTCTCTGCTGTCGTAGCACTCCACGGATTTTAGTGAGTTTCTCCCATCACCTTCATAAACACGACCTCCAATTGCATACATCTTACCACAGCAATATACCAGTCTGCAACCTATTCGGGCCCGAAGCAAGGGTGGTTTGGATATCCATCTATTGGTAGTATGATCATACATCCAGAAATCATTTTCTGCCTTATGGTCTATGGAGACCTCGCTGCTGCTCGGCCTGTACCCTCCGGCAATGAAAATGTCATTATCTGGTGACACAAGTATCCCAACTTCTCTCAGGTCATTTGGTGGTTTGCATAGTTTAAACACTCTTCCTGTGGCTATATCTAGACAAGGCACTGTTTGCTTCTTTCCTGAGTGTTTGTGGGCAGCATCAAAACATATGATCATTTCAGAAGCAGTCATTCCAAGCCTCTGGGTACAGCCATTGGTGCTGGATGGTCCCTTTTCTCCACAGCTTTTGGGGATCGCCTGTGCAAACTGAGGTGGAATTGTCTCTATAAAGGTATCTTCCATTAGAGGAAAACGTATGCATTTGGCAAAAATTTCTGGAAGGTGCACTTCTCTTTCATTCTGTTCATGTTCAAACCACCTTATAATGCTTTCATAAACATGCTCTTCTCGGTCTACGTTTAAATCATCACTGTCTAGTATGCTTATGAGTTGGTCTTTTGTCAACTCGAGAAACTCTTGTTCTTTGGTGACACACAGGAACTTTTTACGAATGTATTCTTTTGATCGATCTCCGAGTTCTTGATGACCGTAATGATCCGCAAAGACAAAGACTCCAATAGAATTTTGTGGCTCCAAATGACTAATCATATATTTAGCACACTGGTCTTGGATGGAAGGAATCTGGAAGATACTAGCTGCAGTGAACAAGGCTTGAACATTGGCCTCTGTCAGAATCACTCTGGAGGTATAGGCATAGTTCAACACTAAATCCATTGATTCAGCTTCAACACCAACTATCCGAACTTCTTTCTGAGTACTTTCCGTAAGGCCGCTAGTAAACATGGATCTAAAGAGGAAAGAGTAGTTAATATTCTATGTGTGCTACAAATAAAATTCATCATGGCAAATTTTTAGAAGTATAAAGTTAACCTTTGAAACTGAATGAAAATTTCCTAACATGTTTCCTGATGTTCTGAAGAGGAATAAAAAGCAGAAGGATTGAGTCTGGCTTATCTCAAAAACCCTATTCTCAGTGCCAGTCCTCCTTGTGCCAACTCTGAAAAAAAGAGCATACCTAATTAAAGCAAACCAAAAGGTGACATGGCATATTCCAAAGCAACTTATTTTCCCTGGCACTCCTATCCAGGCTTCTGGTCAAGTTGCCTTAGGGACTCCAAATCTGAAATCACTGTGCCAGTCAGAAAGTTTAAGAATACTTATACAATGTCAAAGTGATACATTAGAATACAAAGAGACTATCTTCTACAACTTTCCATGTCCCAGGGGAAATTATTAGTCAATATTTGCCCAAAATATATCTTTAAAAGTTCCATCTTAGAAAATCAAGATGTTCTCTAAACTGCATATTCTCTCCTTATTCCATTTTAAAACTAGTATCTTTTGAATGGTTTCTTAATTATCATAAAGCCTATAAAGAACACTTACCCTTGGACATTTTGAAAACCTTTGTTTAAAAAAAACTTAATTTTCTCAAAGTTGTCATACTTTATATATTTATATCTAGACACAAGATAAAGATTATGGTAGAGTTAATATAGTGGTAATGCATTCTTCTAAATAAAGTTTAAAAGCTAGCTGATTCTTTGGGGATAATGGTTTTTAATATCCAAAAATTCTGCCTTTGAGACCACACCTTTTTTTTTTTAATTAAAGTATCAGTGTGTTTATAGAGCTTTCTTGGCCAAAACATTAAGTAGTCAAAAGCCTGGCTCTTTATATTAAATTAATCATTTCTAAATGCCATTTGCCTCCCCCCACCTCTCCTTTAATGCTTCTTTCTAGGCTGCTTTTGAAACTAAATATAAAAATCAAATCAAAAGCAATTTTAAAGGCTTTTTGAGGAATGGACTGTGTGCTATTTATCTTTGTTTTCATGGTCCATGATGTTTAACAAATGTTTGTTGAAGAAATTAACCTAATATTAGTGATAAAGTTGATTATTCAGGTCTGCAGGAGATCCCTCCCACTTAATTTGTAAATGCTGTTATGAATTGGAATCGACTCAACAGCAACGGGTTTGTTTTTCTTTAATGTTATGAAAAATATCCTTAAACAGGAAGATATCCAGTCACTTTTTAAGTCTCCATCAAACATAGAATTAATTTGAAAATGCAATATGAGAAATATTGGAGGTATACAGGGCACAAGGACTCAGCTTGCTGCCTGAATTAGCCATCTTTGAGTCCTATTTTTACTTCTACGATGTAAATTTTAAGTTTACTATCACACAGGCTTTTTTGCTTACTAAAAACTACATTTTTTTTCAATTTGGGTGTTGCTGAAAAGCTCAGCTATACAGCTACCAATTAAAAAGAAAAATAAAGCCCTTCATCAGGCAGAGATTAACTCCCAAAGGAGAACATTATCGCATATCCCTTTATCACAGGAACCACTACCGACACGAACAGGCTGGTCACACACAGGAGCAGTCTGACATTTGAGGAGTTCTCAAATCGGCTATTTCTATTTGTTCTAACAGAGTCTGTATGTAAACGCTATATAAAGTGGGAGCACTTCCTCACACAAAATTCTGAGCAGCAACAAGTTTGTAATAATCATGCAAATTTTAATTCTGACAAGTCACTGGGATCACAAAAGTCATGCCAGATTTCCAGCTTTTCTAATTCATACACCAGTGATGCAAGACTTTGAAATTATTCAGTAATGACTTTCTAAATCCCACAAAAGGAACAGTACTGGTCCAAGAAACTTATTCTATAGAAATACCTGTAGCAAGAAATAAGAACCTAATTACTGTAAGTTTCTAGCCAAGTATCTTCATTTGAATTCCCATATCTTATGTTTAGAAAGTTTTCCATACATTTTCATACATTCTTGGGAATTAAGAAAATATTTTAGCATACTTCTTTAAAGCAATTCATCTAAGTCTTCAAAATTAATTATGACATTTAAATAATTCAGAGTATAAAATTCCAATAAAATATAGACATTTCACTTTGTAGTTAATTTTTTTTTTTAACCATTCAAATTTAACATATAATAAAAACTTCTGAAAGCACTTTAAAAAGGACCCACTCTACTCATTCTTGTTCCTTAGTCATCTGGTGACTAAGAACCCTGGTTCAGGAATCAAATCCTGCCTTTGCCAATTCCTAGTTAGACAGATGATTTGGACAGGTCACTTAAGCTCCTTGAGCCTCAGTTTTTTCATATGTAAAATCGGGATAACAACTGTGCAGAGACAGGATTATAATGATTATATACAGTAATACATGTAAACGAAGTGTGACATATATTTAAACACATATGATCTAATCGCATCTAATGGATAACTGGGATAAGTGAAATATCACCAGTAGTTTCCATTACCAGGCCAAACTTCTTAACCTTCTGAGTATGTGAGTTTCATCTTTTTTCTTTCCAGCTCCTGTCATGTGATGGTTAATACTTAATAGCCCAATAACCTACCCTAGGCAAGTCTAAGTGGTTAGTTACATCACTAGCACCAGACCAAAGTGACTATATTTAACCTAGTATTCTGAGAAAGAGGAACCAGAAACTACTGTCTGGAACACTATACTACTATGTGCCCTGCAAAGGTAAGCACCTTCAAAAGCACATTTAGAGTGTGTGTGGGAAGATGATTTTACTATCATTCACGCACCCCTTTTGAATATTGAAAGGCTGAAAAAAGTGAGCACTTGAAACAAAAGAAGTTAAACTCAGGAAGCTGCCTTTATCACTAGAGTATGAAATTATTTTTTAGATCCAAGTTTTAAAACTTCACTTTTCAAAGTTTAATGATTCACAAATATTAACATCATTGAAAATGAAAACTTAGCTTAAAAATACAGAAAATCTTGGAAATAATCACTAGTCTGGGGCCTAAGGTACACACAAACAGTATTTCATTTTTATTTCACTGCTTTTACCACCATTGCATTAAAATTATCTATTGCATATTTTGAATGTTAAAAGAGTTACATGCACTAAACAAATATGCATCATGGATAACCTTTCAGAATTCTAGATCAAAACTCTCCAACAAAGCTTTCAATGATGGAAATTCTATCTGCTCTGTCCAATATGGCAGCCACTAGCTACATGGCACAGTGGTTAAGAGCCTGGCTGCTAACCAAAAGTTCAAATCCACCATACGCTCCTTGAAAACCCTATGGGGCAGTTCTACTCTGTCCTATAGGGTTGCTAAGAGTCAGAACTGACTGGACAGCAATGGGTTGTTTTTTGTTTGTTTGTTTTTGAGCTACATGTAGCTACTGAGCACTTGAAATGTGGCTAGTGCACCTGCAGAACTGAAAATTTAGTTTTAGATAATTTAAATAGTCACATGTGGCTAGTGGCTGCCATACCAGGCAGCACAGTTCTAGATTTATCTGGTCATTTACCTAAAACAAACACAAGTGGACTAACTTAAAAAACCAACCACCTGAATTCTAGAGGAATCTCTTTAAGTCAAAAACAAGGGCTGTGTTAACAAGATAGCAACTGTTATCTGCTCTTCAGGAAACTCACTGCTTTAATCTTATTGTCTCATCTCAGTATAATAATCAAGTGGACAATACTGAGGGGGAAAGGGAGTTCGGTTCGGTTATCAATAGAAGTTTCTATCATCATCATACCTGAAGTAGGGGCTGATTGCAGCAAGAACGTTTCTATGACAGGAAAATGTTTTCCCATGATCCACTTCCACTACAATGTCTGTCAACTGTCCTTCATCGTACATTGTTTTGAGTTGCTTAAGAATACTGCAAGCATGGAAGGGGTCCATGGCATCGCTGGCTGTGTCTGAAGATGGAATTCCATTCGGTGTTGGGGAAGACTGACTTAAATCTAGGAGGAGAAAAATCGTACAACCACAAGCAGTTCCGAGCCAGTTACGGCGTCGCAGGGGTTTTTTGTTTGCTTGGCTTTTTTTTTTTTTTAATCTGTTACAAAAAATACATATACGTATATACACACACCACCTCATTGGACCAGGAGCTGGGATCTGAGAGACAGAGAAAGAGAGCAGAGAGCGAGCTGCGGAACAAGTTCAAAGGCCAGCCTGCTCCTCGGGGAGCCCAGCAGCTCGATGCCCCGCGCTCGCGGAGGGACCACGCGGCGGGACAGGCGAGGGGTCTACGGTGACTCCGCTGAGAGCCGGGAGGTCCCAGCCGAGAGCGGAGGGTAAAAGCCGCACGAGAGAGGCTCGATGGGCGGCGGCCGCCGGTTCCCCTTCAACCGTCTCCCGAACCGGTCGGAGCAGCGGCTGGTACCCAGCCTAGCCATCTCTGCCCTGCTGGACCGCCCACCGCCTCCACGCCATCCATCCTCCCACCCTCACCGCCCTCCACCTCGGCATCCTCCTCTCCGCCAGCCCGGCTCCTGGTCTTCGCCACCTCCTCCGCTCACGATCTGTGTCTGGTCTAGTCCCCGGCCCACCTTCCCCCTACATCCTTAGCCACCACACGACCCACCTGCCGACGCGGCCATTTCTCAACGCGGCCCCGGCTCCAGCTATTTAAAGAGGAAATGTCATTTCGCTTCCCTCTCTCCCGGGTTCCGGCTCTTCCAAGCTACCCCTAGCCAATGGGGTGGACCATGTAGCCGGCTCCTCCCCCAGCCTCTGAATTCAGGGCGCCGATTGGCCACGATGCGCGCGTTTGCGCGTCGGGAAATGTAGTTTCACTGCCCCCGCTCCGCGTGGGCCGCCCCGGCGGAGGCCCAAGCCGGGGATTCCTACTGGCTGGTTCGGGCGGCGGCGGCGAACTCGGAGCCTGCCAACCTGTGTCCGTGGGGAGCGCGGTGCCTGCCGGGAAAGGTAGTCTTCTGGCTGACGAGAGCTGTCATTCTGAGGGGCTGGAGTAGGGAAAGCTTGAAGTGCAAATTTCCCCACTTCAGGCCTCTCTCCTGGCCCCTGGCTCATTTTTTTTTTTCCTTGACCTTTGTCCTTCATTCCCTAAACCCCCTGCCAAGGACTAGCTTCCGATATGAGAGCCTGCTCTGCGTGAGGGCTCTGACACCAGAAAAATCTGGAAATGGACAAGAGGGCTGTTGTCCAGAAATGTGAAGGAAATCTGACACCCACTCTGAAGGAAAATACCAGGAGGCCCACCTGTGACACCCAATCGAAATAGTATCGCTTTGGCTGGTGCTTCGGTCTCCGCAGATCGATTTGGTCTAGTTACAGCGGCTGTTGAGGCGCTTTAACTCCTACACATGCTTTGCTTTCCTCGCACACCCAGAAAACACCTGTTCACATTTAAAAGCATGTAAGCACTATAGAGGGATTCAAGATGTCTTCCTTTTTGCTCCTAGGAAATGGAGAGTTACGATACTAAGTGGTCTGGAATTTCCTTTGAAGAAATATTTGCGAGCACACTGAGCCTGAAGCCAAGGACAATTACTGAAGCCCTGGCTCTTTATTTACTATGTGTGGGACCTTAGATAAGACCCTTCAACTCTTGAGCAGTTAGATCCCTCACCTGTAACATAAGAATAATAATCTCTATTCTATCCACCTCAGAGGCTGCAAGACTTTTGAAAAAAATGCAGAAATTTTACTGTTGACATGCTTTGATTTACTCATGTAGAAACATTTAACAGAGTGTCTGGCATTTTATAGATACTTAAAACTTCTAAAATAAATTTAAGGTGCAAATGAGCTAACATTGGAAATGCTATTTGTAGACCTTTAAAATGTAAGGGAGTATTATCAGTGAATGAGAAGGAATTTTTAGTAAAGATACAGTTACCTAGCTCATGCACATAACTTTTCTAATACTGAAACGATTTAACAGTTGAACTTCTTGATAAAGGAGATGAAGGATCTTGGATTTTAACCTGAGAGAGAGAGAGAATATGGAATGATGCGAAACAATCCTGTAAGTCTGCTGAAAAATTCCATGCAAGTTAAGAAGAAGTGGTGTTTCCTCAGGTCTGGGATTTATGGACATCAATATGCACTTTTAGGTCCTCTCTGTGAAAACCCCGACTGCACAGTCCTGCACGGATGAAATTGATTTAACTTTTGTTACTCATAAATTTCAATTTCCATTTTTTATGAACCCGTGCTCTTGCTTTCTAATTATGAAAATAGTGGGGTTTTCACTCACAATACTGATGGTATTAAGAAAAAAATGACATCAATCCTTATGGTTGCCAAATAAGGCAAATAAAAATACAGGACATGCAATATTTGGGACATTTAAACTAAAGTGTTACTCGTTTATCTGAAATTCAAATTTAATTGGGTGTTCTGTATTTTGCAACCTTATCAAACCTGTTAAAATAGGGGTTATTTTGTGTTTTGTTTTTCTTTCATAGCTATATAGCTATTTATGACTTAAGAAATTTGAGCCTGAAAACCAATTTGTTTTTTCATTTAATTCTCACCAAATTAACAAACAGCATTGGCAATATTGTTTGATTAATTAAAACAAAGTTTTTTGATTCTCTGACTCAAAGATTCTAAATGGAGGGAACACAAATAAAGAAATCCAATATAAATAGAAAAAAAAATGAACATTTATAATTACAAGGTTGCCATTTATATGACACTGTGAATAGACTCCATTCTATTGGGCAGATGGCATTACATTGGAAAGATTTCATCACAATTATAAATGCATTAAAAAAAAAAAGGAATAAGTAGGAGGATCTCAAAATTAAGCCAATAGTTACACAACTATTTCTTCTTAGTGATCTTTAGAATACAAAAGATGTTCTGTTTCAGGGTTGATACTAAATAGACAAGGGCTATAGCTTTGTTTTCAAATAGCTCTAATTTGATATTTAATCTGAATCAACTAAGAACCTACTGCCAATCTTGAAAGGCAGCAGCAGAAGTAAACTCGTTTTCATCTTAATGTGTTAAGTACTATATTGTCTTCCAAAGCAATTTTATCAAATATTTATAGTTTACAGTAAAATCCAGTAAGGATGAAAATTTAAAAAGCAAGCCACAATATTGGAAGAAACTATATTTACTTCAAATTAGACAATTGGAGCTTCATTATTTTAATTACCTGGGAACCAAAAGCAAAGATGATTGTTAAAATCATGGTTGGTTGAGAGTAAAAAACTTTTACATTTAAATTCTAGCAACGATGAAGGATTATGAAAACAGCAAATTTGGAAAATGAGGAAATTGACCCAAGTTACCTTGTTTTTTTCTGCTTCCACTTTAAGAGAATTACTTTTAACAATTACCAGCTGTGCCCAGAGGCTACTGTCAATAATACCACCACCCAACACAAGAATGACGGCAACTCTGATGAAGAAGGTGTAAAAGAAAATAGAACTTCACTTCTGCAGATTGATTCTGCAGTTTTCCAATTTCCCTGTTCAGTACTGGTTGAGGCTGTGAAATTGACCAGAGCTATATAAAATGAAAGTAAAGAGAGAATACCTCCAACTCTTAGCTTTTAGCAAATGACATCCTTATATATTTATCCTTCTCAGGCTACAGCTAGCTTCTTGATATCCTCCATGTGACATGTTTCCTTGCCAGAGACTTTTGTGTTGGCTAAAAATTCATGCTTAAAAGGAAGCAATGAAAGTGATTATTTCTAATATAAATTTAATATAATATCAGGTACTGATTGTCTTTTTTATTTCTAGAACTTTATATATTATGTATTATTTTGTTTCTTTTAAATACAAAATTTGAAATAGATACTAACATTAGGTTCACTGATTGAGCATTGCTGGCCTTTGTTGCATTTTCATTTTTATTTCTTTTGAGGTGATCTGAGGGTTTAACATGGAAATAGCTATAAGACTGCATTATGTGAATCATTGGATTTAATCATATTAGAGATAGTAAAAGCATTAATTTGTCTTTTAAGTACTTGGAATTTAGCATATATGTGGGGAAAAAAGAGACTGTGAAACTAGTGACAAGAATATTCAATTCTTCAAAAATATTTATTCCCCCTCTCCTGCATTCTGTGCAGGGAACTGTATGAAGTACTGCTCCTGTTACTAGATGGATAGATGGGTAGATGGATGGGTGGATGGATGGATAGATATTCACATGAAAATCAACTAAATCAATGGAGGTTCCTGCAAGCCTCTGGTCATAACATTTTTGTCAGCTGACCAATACATAGACTTGTTTTTTGTGTGTTTCTGTTTAAAGACACCTTGTTTGATACATATTAGTTCATTAACATGGTACTCACAGCCAACAGCACTGTAACTTGTGCCTGAATGAAGTTTATCTTACCATGTGTTTTCTCTGTTTAGTGCTTAGGAACACTAGAAAGCACTTCTACACTACGCTTGGGGCCATTTTAAACAGCAGAATTACCAACAAAAAGGACAAAAACATGAAAGATATGGCACTACATAGACCACAAACAGGGCACTTGTTTACAGCATGAGAGCTGAAACAAGAAGGCGAAGCATCACCTTGTTTGACCTCAGCTAGGAATATATATGTCAGGTGACTCAAATGTTCACCACTCTACTCATGTATGTGAATGACCACAAAAGTGCTGTGAGTACTGATTTTGGGATTACAAATAAATTTTAGCAAGTAAGCAAATTCACAAATACAGAATCTGCAAATAATGGGGATCGACTACACTATGTTTAATAACTAAAACTGTGCTTTACTTTTAAATCTCCATTGCACACGATTGAGTTAATCATAGTTATCACTTCATATCCCAGTATCATCTTTTGATCCATAAACTCCATCTCATGTGTTATATATGAATTTATTTCCCTTAATCCCTATTCTCAACTCCTATCCTCTCTTTCAGTTCACATATAACCAGTGTAATTGGTTTGATGTGGATTCCTCTTTATCTGTTCTTGTAAAATATGTATTATGTTTTATGTGCCCTTATTTGTAATTTATATAAATAATATTGTGCTATGGATCTCATTCTGTTTCTTACGTTTTCATTCTGCACTGTTGTTAAAGTCGGTGCATGTTGCCTTGTGTACATTTAGTCAGTTCTTTTTTCTCTTTACTCTCCTGTCAGCTAGCTCATTGTCTGACATATGTTAGGTGTTCAATAAGTGTTCACATAATAAATTGCATAAATGAATATGTTGAATGAGTGAATGGATGTGGTAGACAAAATAATGACCCCCCCAGAGAT